AAGACGCCCTAAAGAGTCATTTGAGCTATGTCTCTTGCTTGTTGTAATGCATCTTCCATTATCCCTTTCCCATTACAGTTATAAATGGCTTTGAGTGCTGTTCACAGTGTACAGCAGCAGAGCTTTTAGAAGCTGGCATTCTACTGAGGTAAAGGTTTTGCCTGCTCTCCCTCTTCTAAGCAAACAGAATTACTGAATTTGACTTGCGTATCTCAAAGCATGAATTCCCTGTGCATAAGCAAGTGCTAATATGTACCATTTTGCAGCACAGTATTGCTAATAAAGCAAGTAGAGAATTGCACTGTGGAATTCAGTCACCTAAAGCAACGACCAAAAGGTTTGCATATATTACCTGACTCAAATTTTCCCACTGGATTTGTGTTCAATGTGCAAAGTATTAACATTTAAATTGTAATTGGTCTAATTTTAACAATAAATATGACAAGGTGGGTGTTTCTTTACACACAGTTTGTGTCTAATCACCAAACTCTTTTTTTTTTTTTTAATTCACGTGATTAAAATGTGTTCTGCACTATTCAACCCAAAAGTGCATCTGGCTGTGAATGGCAATTGGTGTACAAGAGATACGACTTTAAAGCCCCCTTAAATCTCTGTGTAGGACAACTCGTTCTTACGTAGAAGACTGCTATGCTTCTCAACACGGTCATGTTTTTAAGCAGAAATTTGTATTTTGAATTATTTTGCTTTTTATTTTTTCCTTACCTTAGCTTTTCACAATATTAACAGATGACCCTAAATGCTCACTGCTCAAAATCTTTTCATAATTTTTACTTGGGAAATCAACTTCTCTGTGGGGTGTTTTTTCTGTATTCTTTGTATTCTGTCTGCTGTATTCTTATGCTATTCATACTAGACATCTGGCTGTCTTCTCCGCCCAATTTCTGATGGGTGTGTGCTGCCTCGGAGAATTTCTAGTTGTTTCTGGTGATTCTACATTAAACTAAGCTAAATAACATATAAAAACTCACATCTGCGGAAGATAATTTTCAACCCCACTGTACCAGCTGGTATGTGTCAACTTCTAGTTTTCTGTGGTCCCATTATTTGGGTGATGTATTTTCCACGCGCAGCTGCAGAAACCAATAGATCTGGAAACAGCCATCTCTGTGCAACGCAGAGGCATAATCAGTGGGGTAGCTCGGGAGGGCATGGCGCAGACCTGCACTCCAGAGGTTTCACCGGGAGTCTCCCAGACCTAGGTGAGCGCAGGAGCCCTCATTCCGTGCCAGCCCCAGCTGACTCAAAACACAGAGGCTGCCTCTAACCGCCTGCTCTGCACTCTGGGCCGTGGGAGGTAGGTTAGCACAACGCCTCGTGAGTGCCTAGGTTTGCTTCTAGCGAGAGCTCAAAGATGCCCACCTGACTCCGTAAAGATCGGCACGGTTCCCGAAGAACCACTGCTGAGACTGCAGGTCAGTGCCTTCACAGCAGGACAGGTACGCTCTGCAGCCCAGCCTTCATCCTATAGCTGTCCAGGCTGGGGCACCCCTCCTGTCCAGGCAGCTGGAAACCAGGCTACCCAGGCAGACAGAGTGGAGTTTGGTCTCGTGTAAACACAGTCCTGGACCAGGAGTTGGAAGTACCTAGTGTACCTTTGTGCAGACACAGGACAGGATCCCGTCACACTGCTGAGTACCCCTATTACTCAGACTTCCCTCTTATCCCAGCTCCTTCTTACCTGGGTAATAAAATTAACTGCAGTGCCTGGACTTTCACAGATGAGATTCACAAACGAAAAATACTGGAATCCCCACGGAGTCCTGATGTCAGACTGAAGTCCAGTAACGGCGCGCCTGAAGTTGAAGCACTGTTCACCCAATCCCTAACAGCCGGCCTGTCAAGCATAAGCTCTTGTGCGTGAAGTCTAGGCTTAACTGGAGCACTAGCTTGCCAAGCTTTTTTTTTTTTCAACTAAAGAAAACAAGAAGGTCTTAAAAACCTCCACTTTCTTTCTGCAGCTGTCCAAACTCGTAAGGGAGCCTTCCAGATACTATCCATATTTTGAGTAGTCCCTCTCCTGTTGCCAGGTGGGCAAGAAATGGGAATGTTCCCATTGGAATTATCTTGGAATAAGACTTTCCAACTGGTCGGCTCATCTCCCCTGTTTTGTGGTCTTTGTTGTCTCGCTACAGGAGACGCAACAAGGTCCATGTCAGGGTGTCTGTAGGGACTTCCCCGCCATCCCACAACATTTGTGCTGAGGAGGTAGAGATTGGTGTGGCAAGGAGCTTTGGTACTTGCCCACCCTGTGATGCTGAAACAAACTGTTCACCTGCCCAGGAAGAAATCTTGCACAGGAGAGTAAAGATTATGTTTGAGTCTGAAACACAATCGCAGTTCCCCACCTTGTTCTGCTTTGGTGCACCTGTTTTAAGATACAAGTTGCTGTGCAAACTTTATACTGTAGTCTGTTTGTGCAGTATAGTATACTACGCAACAATACGTATGTGTGTATATATATTTTTTTATATATATATATCATTGTTTTCACTCCTGCTAAAATATCCTGTGGCTTTGTCACAGTTCAGTCTTCTGTGAAGCTTTGCAAGAGATGAGTGTACTGAATCTGCCCCAAATGATGTAAGGCTGGCTGCATACGCTGATAAAGGTTTGCTCTAGAAAGAATGTCAGAAAAAGTCTTTTACGGGACACCTACAAAAACACCTTTTCACAGAGTAGAATATAGAAAATACCTTTTCCCAGAATACCTAGAAAAAAATTAGCAACAAAGTCTGCTAAACTTTCGTTGCTGTGATTTTCAGAAAAAGTAAATCTTTTCTGTATGTCTTTTACTCAGTTTCAGAAACAATCCAGTTCGTGACTTACAGATGATTTTTAAAAATCTATACTGTACCATAGTATACCAGTTACTCGTGAAGTTACCATAACGCAGCATTGTGGGAGAAGGGAAATCCTGAGTCCACAAGAGGAACCATTGGCGGTCACCTTTCATTTCAGGCTGTGGAAGCAGAGACTAAAATATTTCCTGTTCTGTCTCAAATGAATATGTTTCAGTGTTCAATTTCTAATCTTCCAGGATGCTTTGTGGTATGCAACTAACAGCTGTTGTGAGTAGCATTGTTTTTATGCTTACTGTTTTTGTTTCATGTCACACTTTTTTTTCTTTCCTCTCCTTTGCTGTTGGCTTCACTTCTGGCTCCATCAGAGAGAGCTGCAGGTCTTTGCTGCCGCTTAGTAGTCCCCTGTCATAAAGGAATGCCAAGGCTTACTGATCTGTCTGTCAAAACCAAAGATGTCTGGGAAATCCCACGAGAATCCCTACAGTTGATCAAGAGACTGGGAAATGGGCAGTTTGGGGAAGTATGGATGGGTATGGAGCAAAATAATTACTCTAAAATAGCTGTCTGTGTGGGGATTGCAAGATGGAAGGTGAAAACGTAGGAGGACATTTTGACCCACAAGAAAAAATGAGCAAAGCTCAGACTGTCTGGAGAAGTACCTTTGGAAACATGTCTTTGACTTTGAAGTACTTTAATCTTCAACTTTCACCGTAATTGATGGCAAAAGAAAACTGAAATTCCATGTTTCCTTGGAAGGTTTTGATTTTGACAAATTACCACTGTCTTAATAATAAATCAAAGCTCACATAGTAATCTGTTAATTATACCAAGGAGCCGTTTTCTGCAAGCTAACAAAAGAGTCCTTACCTTCAGTATCCAAAAATCAGTGTTTGCAAATGAACTTTAATGCAGCACTGAGAGACAGGTCACCTTCCATCTTTCTCAATGCATGCATAATTTTGGATTATAAGTGTGTTTTTTTTATTAATTTCCTCTCCTATAGAGAAAGCTGATGGTTTGTGTTTTAACTTAACTGTGATTGCTACGAATAATACCCCACAAACTGTTGGATTGGCTAAAGATGCATGGGAAGTTGCACGTGATTCATTATTTCTGGAACAGAAGCTTGGTCAGGGGTGTTTCGCTGAAGTGTGGCGTGGTAAGGCAGAGAATATATTTTGCTTTGGATGGATCTTTTAAGGCCCTCTTGGCAGGAATAAACATTTCAAGTAGAGATCTTAAAGCTGAAAGATCAAAATAGTATGAAAAGTTAGTCTGTATCACCTGAAACAGTCAGACCTAAATACAGTAATCCGTGGGGAAGCTTCCTTTCATTTGCACACGCTGGTATGAGACGTTAAGGCATTAAACCTCATTAATTGCATTGGGTTTATTGGGGTGTCTACGCAATTGCGAGGTATTAAAATAGGAATGATGCTAAACTTGTAAGGCAGAATGGTTAACCAGAAATTAATCTGGTAAGTGCATGTTTCTCTTTCCTCATGTGTTTTAGCATTGATTTAGCAGAACCCCGTAACTCGATACAGAGACCAGGGAGAACAGGGCCAAGACTTGCCCAGCTGAACCCTAACTTTGAAGTCCAGAAATATTGACATTTTCCAAATCCGCTGACATTGTTTTCTGCACACTTGCCAGCTTTACTTACTACTCCCCTCTCTGTGGGCCTCATTCTTTTTAATGGCTATAGAACAATGGCAATATAAAATATACGTAAATCTTAGTATAGCTGTAGCATTGAAACACAATATAGTGGCCGTTTAATGAGAAGTGGGCTCAATTTCTGTGCCAAATTGCATTCTGTGTAGCCTCTTTAAAACGACCAATTCAAATAAAGAATCGCTATATGTTGTTTCTTTACATCAGAATCATTTGGTGGAGCGGTTTGCCCACTCTTTTTGTTGCCGTGACACAAAACTACGTACAACCGAAATAACCAGCGACATCTCCTGGGCTCTTGCAGCCGTTTTCTGTTGCAAGACTACCGCAAGGCGCATGGCAGCAAGTCTGTGAAATTTATAGAATTTATAGGTTAGAAATACAGACATTTTTAGAATTTCACAGAACTACAGTTGACCTGTTGCAAAGAAAACTAACCCGTGTTTTATATTAGCATCCCTGCATTCTCCATCTTGAATGCATGCGAGGGTTTCAGGTTGATGCATGCGAATACTTAGTGGTCCACTTCGTGTGCCATAGACCTCAAACTGTTGCAACAAGCTGAAGTAGGAAATGCAATTTAAAAAAAAAAAAAAAAGCTATGAGAAACACAGCGCCAAATATCAGTACTAAATATATGTCAGAAATTTAAAAATTATTATTACAGTTATGGCATTATGTTTCTTAAAGTAATGTGTAGTAAAAATACATTAACAGCCCTGAAGCATTACTAAATTGGACTAGATTAACACAGTAAAAATTAATAAAAAACGCATTAAGTAGTAACTAACCACATATGGGAGGAATTCAGAGGGAGGTCTCTGCTAATTTTCTATTAGAGAGAAAAATACCAAACTACAACAAGAAAATATAGCAATTTAAACTGAAATCTGAGCTGAGAGGATAAGTTAACCTTTTTGGTTTATTTTCTTTTTTTAACTGGAAAAATTCATAAAAGTATTTTAAAGTAGAATTGCTGAAAACACTTCATGGTAATAGAACAAGTCCTGGGATTTTTTTTAAGGCAATGCAAACAGATAATACACCATTAATCCTGTTAACACACCAGGCAAAATCCTAGTTTATTAATGCCAGCGACATAAATCCTAGCGCCCGTGAAACAAGGGTTTCATCCCTGGTTCATATAATCTTGGCGGTACCTCTGCAAAGCGGCTCTGACCGACAGCACTCTGCGGTCCAGAGCCTCAGCGGCTCCAGATAAAACACGCCTCCCTTTCACCCATCAGAATCACTAAGGTTGGAAAGGACCTTCAAGATCATCAAGTCCAACCATTAACCCAATGCCACCATGTCCCCTAAACCATGTCCTGAAGCACCACACCCACACGTTTTTTGAACACTTCCAGAGATGGCGACTCCACCCCCTCCCTGGGCAGCCTGTTCCAATGCTTGACCACCCTCTCGGTGAAGAAATTTTTCCTAATATCCAATCTAAACCTCCCCTGGTGCAACTTGAGGCCATTTCCTCTGTTCCTATCACTGGTTACTTGGGAGAAGAGACCAACACCCACCTTGCCACAACCCCCTTTCAGGTAGTTGTAGAGAGTGATAAGGTCTCCCCTCAGCCTCCTCTTCTCCAGACTGAACAAGCCCAGTTCCCTCAGCCGCTCCTCATAAGACTTGTGCTCCAGACCCCTCACCAGCTTCGTTGCCCTTCTCTGGACACGCTCCAGCACCTCAGCATCCTTCTTGTAGTGAGGGGCCCAACACTGAACACAGGATTCAAGGTGTGGCAATCAGAGAAGATTTTGGCCACCCTGCTTGAAATCAGGAGGCGAAAGCACATCCTTCCCAGCTGACGTGGGAGACCCCTAAAGCCAAGTCCTGCCTCCGCTCTGGTTTGAAGGACCGAGTGAAACTAAGACCTCACGAGCCTTCCGCAAGCGCACCGGGGCAGCAGCAGCAGCGACTCGGGGCCTCGCTTTGCCGCGGGCAGAGGCGACGGCAGCGGGCGCTGCGCTGACAGAAGAAAATGGAGGCGTTGTTAGTGAAAACCGAACGTGCGCTGCACGCTTTCGGCTCGTACATGCCTCGCACCCCCCCTGTGTCACTGCGGGGATTGCCCTGCGAGTGAGGGGCGACGCGGGCGGTGGGTCCCCCGCTGCTCCGCCCCAGTCCTTGGCTCGGCGAGGTGGCAGCTGGAACCTGACCACTTGCACAAAATCCAGCTCATTTTATGCTCGGGCTGGTTGCAAAAGCTCATGATGAAGTTATTTTGGCTTAACCAGTTCCCATGCAACAGCTCAGCCCTGGTAACTGCTAATGTGCTTTTAACAAAGACAAATCAGGCTTATTTTACACCTTACCTTTTTTATTGACATCTTAATTTACAGCAACTAGATCTGAGCCCAAGTCTTCATGTATTTTGTAGGCCTTCTGCTATCCTCATGCTTAAGTGCAGAGGAGCAATTTTTACCCAGTATGATTAATTCCTGAAAACGTTCAGTATTGTTCTGCCGCACCACACAGCCGCTCCCCATCGACAGACCACAGGTCCCCTTCAGAGCTGTTTCAGCCTTGGCTCTGGAGCAGGGTTCTGGTGAGCCCGGGCAAGGGACAAGCAGAAGGCAGTAGGAAAGAGATACTTCTGCCCGCTTTCATTTCCCTTCCTTTCCCTTCCCCAGCCCGCCACCCACAAAGAAACCTGTTAACATCAGTAGGTGGGTTTTTTTCCCTTTCCAGTCCTCCTTCTCCCCCTTGCAAATACCTGAGTGAAGCCTCAGCTCTTGTGGGAGCCCCGACTCAGCCTTCCCCAGCTCTTTCCAGGTCCTTGTGTGGGCTTTCAGGTGTTGCAGAAGGCGTGGTAGATGATGGCTGAAAAGTGATGCAGTTTGGCCATTTCAGCGCTGACCGCAAGCCAAGAACAAAGTGAAGCGGGGCAGGAGCCACCTCGTTTTCAATCAGCAGCTGCTGGGCTTCTGGGGCTGAGGAGGAGAAGGGAAAAGACACGTTTCGTTTTGGAAACACGCCTGTGTTTCTAAAATGAAAGCAATTCAGAATTTGTTTCCTGGGAATTTTTCTTAGATTTTTTTTTTTCCCTCTGACTCAGAACAAAAACAAGATGTTAAAATGTCTTGCAAATGGAAAGTTCTGGGTTTAACCAGATTTGCTATCCAGATCTGTGACGGGAGCTGTGTTGTTGTCTGTAGCAATTACTTGTTAGCAAGGGGATACGTGAAGATGGGTTTCAGCAGTCCCGCGTTCCTTACTCAGAGAAGGTTTCTGTGGACATCAGTGGAAGCATTGTCTGAGTAGGACAACGGCAGTTGTGCCCCAGTGCCAATGGGAGTAGTATTTTTCCGTGTAATAGAAAAAGAGTAAAATATGAGGGAGGTGTGGGAGGAATATAATGGGAAAACAGACTTTAAAAAAAAAATTATATTAAGTGTCCTTGTTAGTTTGTTCCTTGGTTACCTTAGGTATTGGGCAGAAAAAGGAGCAGAAGATGTCTAATCTAACTAAGTGTCTGTGCTTGTAGGTACATGGAATGGAAATACTAAAGTGGCTATCAAGACCCTGAAGCCTGGCACTATGTCTCCAGAATCTTTCTTAGAGGAAGCCCAAATCATGAAGAAGTTAAAACATGACAAACTGGTCCAACTTTATGCTGTGGTATCTGAAGAACCTATCTATATTGTCACGGAGTACATGAGCAAAGGTGAAGCCAGAGCTGCTGCCCTTGATAACGACATTTTTTCTTTGTTGATGCTCCTTGGGGGTACAGAGGGAGGTGCATGAACAGCGTGTGAGGAAAGAGAGTGGGAACAGGAAGCTAAATTCTCCTCTGGCTTCAGAAGAATTATGAATTCAACTCTGAACTGGGCCCAAAACCTGAAACCCACTAGATGTACAAAGAATGTTTGCACTAGGTGGAGAAGGGAGAAGGAAGCCTAAGTGCTTCCAACTGCATCAGCATCGAAACGTCCCTGACAAGTGGAGATTTGCATTTTCTAGGTTTGAATGATATTACATGCTGCTTTCCAAGATCCCAGCTTTTCCTGGCACCAGAGAGTTCATGCAGCATATTCTTGCAGTGTTTACTTGTCGGCCTAGGATTCCTGTCTCTTTTAGCAATCCTGAATTCTGTCGCATGCACCTCGGTCCCAGATCACAGCTTAATTTTTCATTCTACCTCATTTATCATCTTAATGCATGATTGGCACATATGATTCTTTCCTCCTCTTTCCCCTTCCCTTTCCCCTTCTCCCTTCTCTTTTTCTTTAAGCTACTTAACTGGTAACAATACAGTAAAATGAGAAAAGGAAAACTTTTCACTCTGTCAGATCTCCAGCAGGGGTGCTGAGAGCAGAGAAAAAAAATCTGCTTGTTTTGGAAAAGCAAATGAACCAAATAGGAAACATAAGTTCTCACAGGGAAGTTTCATTGTACATTGGAGGATACACTCTGAAATTTTAAGTGCATTTTTTCAGTCTATTTGGAGTCAATTTTTATTTTCCTGGCAGGTGCCTGCCCACCTCCCTTCTCGGAGGCATCCAAGCCCTGACTAACTCATGCTTTAATCATATGTCTCTGTGACAAGCATGTGCTTTTTCCCCTTTAAAAAAAACAAAAGACTTTTCAAAATCCTTCTGAAGTACGTGGTTTATTTTGGCTCACTTCACTATTTTTTACTGTAACATTTTACATCTTTGGATCTGAGCTTGAGACTGATGATTTATCAAGGGAGAAACGCCTAATCATCTGTCTTTTCCCCTTATTTATTAAAGCAATTCACTAACCTTATTTAAAGGAGACTACCACACTTCTCTGTTTGAATACAAGATTGGGAAGGGAGCTATAGCATCCTAGGCTTTTTTTAAAAGCTACAGGGAACCTCCTTGCTTTCCCTTGCACAGGAGAGCTATCTCCTTATTGCTTTTGCCAAAACTGCTTTTATTTGATCTCTGCTTTGTCTCCTCTAGTTTTGCATAGTGGTCTTCTAAAATTAATGGTTCATGCTACATTTAGTTATAGGTTACCTAGAGAAGGAGCACTACTAATTTTTAAGGAAAATTAGCCTTCGTTAATGCTAGCCCCTTTGGGCTTACCAGGCTCCAGGCTGACCTTTCTTTTGGAGCAGGTTGAGCTGGGATCTGACTTTTTCCATAGCTTGTGTGGCTTGGAACTGAGCTGATGCTTTGCAGCTAGCTGAGGCCTTTAGAGAGCAGCAGGTATGTAGTTTCAAAGAGCACTGGAAAAGTTAAGAAAGATCAGCTTTCTCAGTAATGGTCAGGAGAATTAAAAACAATGTTGTTTCTTTTCCCTGCAACTCTGGACTAGTGACGTATTCTTCTGCAAGCCAACCTTAAAGCAGAGTGAAACAAGTACAATAGGAGAATTCTAGATACTGGGGGGGGTTTTGAAACTGTCCACTTGAACTCAAAACATTGCTGTCTTTAATGTTGCACATATTGCTGCACCTCCACCCTGATGAATAGCCATTGTTTCCCTAACAAACACCTCTCTGTTGTGTCAACTTTGCATTTGCAGGGAGTTTGCTAGATTTCTTAAAAGATGGAGAAGGAAGAGCG